GGAGGTAATATTGTCACTTGACGAACTAAAAACAAGATTTTGTTGTTAGATTGAGCATCGAGGTATATACCACATTGTATTTATGAGTTATTATGGACAAAACATGAAATGTGCTAATGATAAAATTGAGGTTTAAGCTTAAAACCTCATGCGAGGGATGGTCAACAGTTATGGCGGACAGATAATTGCGGTTATTTATCTATAACCGTTTAAGTCCTTACCTGCATAACCGTTTACCCGTTGGGTAATTGCATAAATAGGTATACCCATATCTATAACCATTTACAAACGGTTAACCGTACTCATAACCGCATACTCATTTAACCGTAATCGTATACTTGTTTAACCATAACCGCATACCCGTTTACCCATTTACTATTAGGTACTCAAGCCCAAGGGAATAGCCCAACCCAAAAAACTCGTCCAATAGGTGGAAGGACCCCAAGGACTTAAGAACCCCTACACCCCCATAAGTGTAGTCAATATGGGATCATAACATTACACCACCCTTCGGGAAGCCGACGTCCACGGCGGCCCTTACTCTGGTGGCTTTCATTCTTAACAACGGCGCACCCCTTGGTCGTCCCGTTAAGGTAGCCCTTTCCAGGTCGCCCCTTCCGCAGCGTCGGGAACCTAGGCTCTGATACCAATATTAGGTACTCAAGCCTAAGGGAATAGCCTAACCCAAAAGACTAGTCCAATAGGTGGGAGGACCCCAAGAACTTAAGAACCTCTACATCTCTATAAGTGTAGTCGATGTGGGATCATAACATTACACCACATTTTGGAAGCCGATGCCCACGGCGGCCCTTACTCTGGTGGCTTTCACTCTGAACACCGACGCACCCCTTGGTCGTCCCGTTAAGGTGGCCCTTTCCAGGTTGCCCCCTCAGCAGCATCGGGAACCTAGGCGCTGATACCAATGTTAGAACCTAGCTCCACATCTTCTATAATTGCACAGAGAGATAGTAACAGAACAACAATATCATTTCATTAACCCCTTTTCCTCTCTTACAATGTACTATTTATACTAATACTCAACTCTAACTGTCACCACAAGATGATGCCATCTAGCATCCTAACATTTACCCTTGTTTTACCCATTTTTTAACAAGTTAAAAATTAAAAAAGAAATTTGTATGAAATGCAGATCAGAGAACTTGAGCCTCTCATTTAAAGGGACAACAGCAGAGAAGCAGACCCACATAAACTTAGACGGAGGGCTTTTTTGAAGCTTCCAAAAATGGAGCGTTCGTGATGAGTGATGACTTGTTTGCTTTGTCCCTAAAAAAACCTAATATTATTGTCTAGAAATGGTAATTAGTGGGCAGTGGGGTTGGTGATGCAAAAGCCGTAAAGCCTAATACATTCATGCAGGAGATGAGAGAGAGGCGGAGATGAGAGAGATGAGCGGCAATGGGAGTATGGGAGAGATCAAGGATTTAAATATCGATAATATCGGCGATATTTCGCCGATATTATCGTTTTTTTGCTTCACCGATATATTAATAAGTATCCAAAAAATTTCATCAAAATATCGCGATATTATCGATAATATCGCGATATTACCGATAATATCGCGATATTACCGATAATATCGCGATATTTCAAAAGTACTAAAAATATTAAACTAACAAGATCAGATAGCACATCTAATCTTAGCCAAAAGACCGAGAAAAGACTGTCTTCATCAGTTTTGGAATGTAGCTTTTATAGACTTGTTTGGTTACTCACTTCCATTGCACAGCCGATGTGGGATGAAAACAATCTTTTATAGACTGTTTGCTTGCTCAGTTTTATTGCACAGCCGATGTGGGAAGGGTTATTATCATGCCAGGTTTATATTGTAACCATTACTTCCTGCGAATGCTAGCTCAAATTGGGAAGGGTTATTATGATGCTGCTTTAGTCAGTTCCTTCCCTCTTTCTTTTTACTGTAATTTCATCATTGATCACCAAGATAATAAGTTGTCAATACAAAATACAATAAATATTTGTTTTGTTAGTAATGATGCTCAACTTGTGTTGGTAATGGTTCTAATCTTGTATGATGTTATAAAACTAAGGAATTTTTACTAGAAGCAACGTTCTTTTTTCCTCATCTTACTGCATGGATGTAAGAAAAGTTCCAAATCGGAGAGTTAATTAAGAAATTCCTCACAAAGTTTATTAGGAGTTGTGTCATAACTCTTATTGCCAATTAATTTTGGGGTTGAAACCTTAGTTTTCTTCATGGATCTGGAGCATATATGCTTGCATATTAAAGGAAGTTGAGTTTCCACTATAAAAAGTTATTACAAATAGTTACCACACCCAATACTACATGTATGTTTGGGTGAGAGACTCCCAAACTACAAGGCATGCATTTTAGGCAAATGAAGAAGAAATATGTCGCACAAAGTTAAATATGAGGAATTAGAAATGTATCACATGAACATTACAAAATATATGTAAAAGAAATTTGTTAATGACTCATTTTAAGCAGTCATTTGCAAATCCCTCACGTGTTGCATTTCTAATCTCGCATATCTATCTTTTTGTGATTTATTTCTTCATGACTATGTCTAAATTCTCCTAAAATTCCTCTCTTAGATCTTATGTGCCCCTCTTTTTTTTGTTTCTCACTCACTCATGTCTAAATCTTGTCGAGTTGCATATATTTAGTTGTACAAATGAGCATTAAATTGTTAATATCATGCAATGTATAAAATGTAAAATATTGTACTAATTCATTATATATAAATGATTATGGTGTGTTTAAACTTCTTTCATTAATTACTACATATTTTCTACACTCACAATGTTTGCCAGCTCGTTATATAATCAACTTGATAATGTTAAATCCATCATGCAATGCATTTCTTTCCAATTTTTTGTGATAAACTAATAGATAATTAACTAAATAAACATCCTGCAAAGTTTCAATAAAAATTTCCAAGTTTTTCTTACAATTTCCGTGGTTTCCATGTAATTTTTATCGATATCGATATTATCCCAATATTTCCATCGATATTTTCGTGTTTTCAGACTACCGATATTTCCGATATTACCGATATTTTCTTCCTTGGGAGATATCGAATAGTTTTTATGTTTTTAATTTTAAATTTTTTTAATTTTATAAATATTAAATAAATGGTTAAATGGGTACTTGTTTGTAACCGTCAGTAATATTCATAATCATCCATTTAAATTTCATGGATAAACAGTTATACCTATAACTGTTTATTTGTTTCAACGGTTAGCCATAACCGTAACCGTGAATTTTAAATGAACGGTAACCACGGTTATCCATACCTGTGGATATTTTGCCCATCTCTACTGTCATGCCATTGTATACTGATAATAAAATAAGCGATTTATATTATTCACAATCTGATTCAATATGATCGAACTAAACACATCGAAGTGGTATGGGACTTTAGGTCTGAGTTTATTAGACCCAACCTGACTAAAGATCCTACCTTTTGTTTAACAACCAACAGGATAATAACATTGAATTTATGAGATTCGAACTTGGGTTCAGAGAGTATGGCCAAACTCAGGTCTTTTATGATTCATCCTTTTTAATTAATCAAAAACTGTTATCCATAAGATTTCTACATAGGACCACCTTTGATGAAGTAGTCGTTCGCAAGATTTTGTTGATTTTATTCATTTGAAAGACTTAGGACGGATTTGGATCCTCGTCGGATCCCCTCCCTAGGGATCCTAGGGATCAACAAACACGGATCGTTGATCAAAAATCGTGCGACCACAATTTTTTCTTTTTTATTTACATTTCACGCAAAATGATGCTGCTTTACTTTTACAAATATAAAAAGCATTTAATTAGGACGGCATGATTTTTTATCAACAGTTCTTGTTCATTGATCCCTAGAATCCCCAAGGAGGGGATCCAGCGAGAATCCAAATCCATTAGTTTGGAAATGCCTAATTTTTTTCAAAAGCAGGTCTGAAAAAAAAGCTGGGCTGTATTATATGTTTGTAAACAAAAACATTTTTCTTTCTCAAACGCTGGTGAACAGTGTAAGGCCCATTCGAAGCCAAGCAGAAGCAGCAAAAACATGCTTTGAAAATAGGCTTTTTTTTTTTTTTTTTTTTCTAAAACGCTGATGAACAGTGACTATTTAATGAATTTTTAATGGCAATCCTACCCTTTCTTTCTAGAGAACTTTAACGAAAAGCATTTGGTACTGTTCACTTTAACGAAAAATCACATTTTTACATTAAAAAATCAATCCTGGTACTATTCACTTTACCCTTTATTTTGTCCTTATTATTAAAACTCAAAATTTTCAAACCCTTTTCATTAGTTTTCCTTTCTTTTTCTATGCATCGTCCCCCTTCTTTCTCCTCGCCGTCTCCTCCAAGCTTGAGCTTGCTATCTCATGAGATCGAAATCCTTTGGTTAATTGAGATGGGCACGCCAATGTGGTGGCTGCGAGTTTGTGGAAATGGGTTAGGGCCATTAGGCGAGGGGAGGAGCTACGTTGGGTGGTCTGGTCGCGATGGCAGTTTGGATGGATGATCTAGTCGTGGTGGTGGTTTGTGGTCTGGTCGTGGTGGTTGTTTGGATGGGTGATCTGGTCGTGGTGGGGGTTTGAATGGGTGGGGTGGGTCTGCTTGGAATTAATTTAATTTTAATTTCATGTTCTAGTTTTTCTTCTTCAAATTTTATGTAAAGATAATTTAACATTTTGAATTAGGTTTGAGAGAGTAATTTTGGTAATAGATTTGGGTTTAAAGAAAGATTAATTCTTTAATAAAAAAATAATATGGGTGAAGAGAGTAAATTGGATGTAGAAAGAGGTTACATGATTCAAATAAAATTTCTCTTTGATATTTTTTTAATATATTTCCATATTTTAATTAGTTTAATGAAAAATAAAATTAAAATCAATGTCCTTTTTGGTTATTATAGACAATTACAACAACTTTAGACAAAAAATTTATCAAATACTTTAACATTCTTTTTATAATCATAACACTTTTACAGAAAATTTTACTAAATAATTAACTGATTTATTTCAAAGCTGATTATACTCACAACTTTTTACAAAAACACTCTACCGTATATTGGAGACATACAAAGTTTGTGTAAAGCAACTACATTAAACTATATTCTCTCTTTTTGAAAAGAAAAGAATAAAATGAACAACTTCATCTTGTACAACCAACCAGCATGGACAACTCTTGAAAAAAGACATTCTTTTAAGTACTGCTTCTAAGTTCAAAGGGGATGTAAAACACACCTCTACAGTTAGAGAGGAATAAACAACTTATTTTTTAAAAATTAATCCATTGATTAATCATCATCAACAATCCAATCATCACAGCCCACAATCTCAGTGACTTTGAACCTACTGATCCAGATCCATTACCACACACAAGCTTGTGGTGGTGATATGTGCACACCTGTTGCTTCCTGCATATATAAACAACAATAAAGTGGATAACTTACACCACAAGAAAAAAATGGGATAGAAAATGCTAAAACATTGATAAACTTTTGTTTGCAAAGCGCGCACCTGCGACAGCGGACATATATTTGGCAAGAGAATCAAATTTCAATGTTCAAAATCTTTTCTTACTTAGACCCTCGATTTTATAATCACTGCATCCAAATTCCAAAGAGAGATCTAAAACAGTTTTTAGTGCATGTAATTCGCTGATGACAAACCTGGTTGAGCAGAAAGCAACGACATAATTTGTGCCTGAGCAAGTAAAGATACTGCTCAGATCATCATAAGCATAACTGTAGGCAGTAGGGCATGCTTCTTTGAACTTCTTGGAATAATATGTGGGTTTACACACAACAGCATTGCCATAACTCCCTCGGCAGCAGTACTCATCTGTGTCGAACACATCACACGCACTTCTGCATCCAACTTTCTTCCCATTGGCCTTCACAGCTAGCTCATTCGGGCAATTTGGTCTTAGGTCCCCGTCACAACCAGATACACTTCAGTTTCCCGTACAATTTAGAGGTGTCACAACCAACGGCAAGTTGAACCCGTCAACAAGGCTCACATCATAAAAGTCTAGTGCAGCCAATGTGAATTCGGCAAGTGTTGCTGGGGGCTTTCCTGAGGCTACACACTGGAGGGTGCTGCCACAGGACCCGGTCTCGCACGAGCTATTGCCATTTTTGTCAAAGTTGCAGCGTGTTCGACCTTATATCCTGCCAGACCAGCTAACCGGGGCAGTGAACACCATTGACTGGCTTGGTTTTAGCACAAAGCCACCACCATAAGTTGTCCCCAGGGGTAACTGCAGGCCAGACTGTCTCTTTGCAATTGTTTATAATGGTGAAAGTTCTAGCAGACTCGGATAACTTTGGTCCTTCAAACATCCAAGAAACCAATTGCTCTAAAATTTGACATGAAACAAATTAACTAGAAGGGTTGCTAATTTTTTCCACACTTTAATTTACTCCAAGGACGTGACAGATTAATATTTCAAATTTCGATCATATTGTAGGATTCAAGCTTGATTACAAAAGAACCGATACTAAATTCTAATCACTGTCATTATCCATACAAATTGTGAAAGAAACATAACAACAACAACAACAACAACAACAACAACAAAGCCTTTTCCCACTAAGTGGGGTTGGCTATATGAATCATAGAACGCCATTGCGCTCGGTTTTGTGTCATGTCCTCCATTAGATCCAAGTACTCCATTAGATCCAAGTACTCTAAGTCTTTTCTTAGGGTCTCTTCCCAAGTTTTCCTAGGTCTTCCTCTACCCCTTCGGCCCTGAACCTCTATCACGTAGTCACATCTTTGAACCGGAGCGTCAATAGGCCTTCTTTGCACATGTCCAAACCCATTTTGTGTACGTGTTGATGCTTCACCGCCCAACATTCTATGTCATACAGCATCGCCGACCTTATTGCCGTCCTATAAAATTTTCCTTTGAGCTTCAATGGCCTACGACGGTCACACAACACGCCGGATGCACTCTTCCACTTCATCCATCCAACTTGTATTCTATGGTTGAGATCTCCATCTAATTCTCTGTTCTTTTGCAAGATAGATCCTAGGTAGCGAAAACGGTCGCTCTTTGGTATTTCCTGATCTCCGATCATCACCCCAAACTCATTTTGGCCTCCATTTGCACTGAACTTGCACTGCATATATTCTGTCTTTGATCGGCTTAGACGAAGACCTTTAGATTTCAACACTTCTCTCCAAAGGTTAAGCTTCGCATTTACCCTTCCTGAGTTTCATCTATCAACACTATATCATTTGCGAAAAGCATACACCAAGGAATATCATCTTGAATATGTCCTGTTAACTCATCCATTACCAACGCAAAAAAGGTAAGGACTTAAGGATTGTTGATGCACAAAATTAGTGAGGACTTTGGCACAACAGAAAGTAATAAGTTTGTGATCTTTGCTAGATTGCTCTGGTCATTAGTGTGGTTAAGTATGTAAATGGATAGAGACAGGAAAGCAAACACAAGATATACGTGGTTCACCCAGATTGGCTAGGTCCACGGAATAGAGGAGTTCTCATTAATTGTGAAAGGTTTACACAATACATAGGTTCAAGCTCTCCTTTAGTGAGTACAAGTGAATGATTTAGTACAAATGACATTAGAAAATAGTGTGGGAGAATGATCTCGTAATCACGAAACTTCTAAGTACCAAAGTGTGGTATCGTCTTCACTTGCCTTATCTGTCTCATAGGTAGATGTGGCATCTTCTCTGGAAGTACTCTTCCTCCATCCAAGGGTGGTATCGTTAACTGGTGGAAATGCACAAGGTAATGTATCAATTTCACTTGAAGCTTACTTGTAGTTTCAGGCTTGGTCAAGCGCGATACAAACCATGTAGTAGGAGTTCCCCAAGTTGCCGAGCTAGGGGATCTGCTGAAAGAGGTGACAGACAAGGTAAGCAATCAGAGCTCCAAGCAATCAGTCCCAGATCAGAAGTTTGATTTCGAGTTTCGGCTGATTGTTCTCATTCTCCCTATCTTGCAGGCAGCATGAAGAATAAAGAGAAGAAAAAGGAGAATAGATGATATGAGATACTTTTGCTTTTGAAGAAGTAACTTTCCACAGGCTTATTCTTGAACTGGGCTGGAGGGTTTTCTGGTTTCCTCCAGAGTATAAGGCCGACTGAAGAATTTGAGGGTCAAAACAAGTCCATCAAATCTAGAGTACGTTCGACCCTGCTGATATGGGATACTTTTGCTGTTGACAAAGTAGTGGATGTATCGGCACCTGTTCTGTTACGCTTGTCTCCACATGCTTCCTTGTATCATTCTCACTTTCCCTATCTATTCCTCAGGCAGATGTGGTATCTTTTCTGGAAGCATAAGATGTTGAAGATGAGTACTCGAGAGCAATGTCAGGTAAGTAATCAGGTAAGGGGTTCTAGGCAGTCAGTTCCTGACTGGAAGCTTGATTCCAAGTGCTGCCTGATTGCTCTCTTTCTCCTTGTCTTGCAGGTAAGAACAAGGTCAAAGGAAAAGACAGGGAAAAAGCATGATATGAGATACTCTTGCTTTTAACCCTGATGATATGAGATATTCTTGCTCTGGTGTATCTTGTTTGCAGAGGTATTATCGGGAGGAAAGAAAGCTGAGTATTTCGAGAGGCTTAGTTGGGAGTGCCCTCTCAGATATGAGGAAGGGTTGAGCATTTTTGCAGGTCTGCCTATCCGTTGAGGATGGAGGTCGACATATATAGGAGTCTCCCTAACAACAAGTAGTAATGCTATTCATTTACCCTGCTTGGTCATAGCACGGTAGTGGGAGCTGCCAGCTTCACGTGTGTTAGAGCACTTTGAAAAAGTGGTCTGTGGTATCTGGAAAGCTGATGTTGAGTGTGAAGATTACAGACAAGCTTTATCCAAGGAGATCTGGCTCTCGAAGTTGAGAAAACGGTGCCTCTTCGGTTTTCGAACAAGCAATCCTGTTGAGGATCTGGCTCTCGAGATTCGGAGAACGATGCCTCTTTGATTTTTGAGAAAGCAATCCTGCTGGGAGTCTGGCTCTCGAGATTCAGATAGCGGTGTCTCTTCAATTTTTGAGAAAGTAATCATGTTGGGAGTCTGGCTCTCGAGATTCGGAGGACGGTGCCTCTTCGATTTTGGAGCAAGCAATCTTGTTGGGAGTGTTTTCTCGAATGTGAGTAAAGGTTGGGCATGTTTGCTAGTCTACCTTGCCACAACACACAGAGGTTGACTCATATGGACTTTCCAATTATCTAGCAGTGGTGATGTTCCTTTACCCTTGTGGGTAATAATATGGTAGCTAGACCGTCAAAATTTATGTGTCTAAACTTTGTTAGTGCTGTTTCTTTGCTATTCTTTTACCCTTCTTGGTCATAGCGATGTAGTGGGAGCTGCAAGCTTCACGTGTCTAAACTTTGACAGAGATCTTTGGCAAAGTTATATGTGGTACCCATGAGCTGATGGTGCGTGTGGAAAGTGGATGATTGAACAGTAAGATTCACGTGCTTTCTACTTCAACAGAATGCCCGTAATTTCAGCAAAGCTGAGTGTGCATGTGACAGGTGCTGACAAGGCTGAAAAGAGCAGGTGCCTCTTCGATTTCTGAGATAGGCCCTCGTGGTCTCTGAGCAACCCAACTTTTGAGAAAGCAAGCGCTTCTTCGATTTCTGAGATCGGCCTTCATGGTCTTTGCAGCCCAGCTTTTGAGAAAGCAAACGCCTCTTCGATTTCTGAGATCAGCCCTCGTGGTCTCTGAACAGCCCAGCTTTTGAGAAAGCAAACGCCTCTTCGATTTCTGAAGGTCCGTCGAGTGCAGATTTTATTGAGGCTGGCATTAAGTTCCAAAGAACACTTGAATCTCCACCAGTAGAAGCTCCCTTCTTGCACTTCTAAGATCTTTGTCCGACCTCTTCTCTCTTCAACACCTTTGAAAATGTCTGGCCCATCCGACCGTCGTTTTGACTTGAACCTTGTTGAAGAGGCAGCCACGCCTTCTCCAGACAACATATGGCGCCCATCCTTCTTATCCCCTACTGGTCCTCATACCATTGGGGATTCCGTGATGAAGAATGATATGACCGCTGCGGTGGTGGCCAGGAACCTTCTCACTCCCAAAGATAACAGACTACTTTCCAAACGGTTTGATGAGTTGGCTGTTAAGGATTCTCTGGCTCTGAGTGTTCAGTGTGCAGGTTCTGTGTCTAATATGGCTCAACGCCTATTTACTCGAACCCGCCAAGTTGAATCATTGGCGGCTGAAGTGATGAGTCTCAAACAGAAGATTAGAGGGCTCAAGCATGAGAATAAACAGTTGCACCGGCTCGCACATGACTATGCTAAAAACATGAAGATGAAGCTTGACCATATGAAAGAATATGATGGTCAGGTTTTACTTGATCATCAGCGGTTTGTGGGTTTGTTCCAAAGGCATTTATTACCTTCGTCTTCTAGGGCTGTACCGCGTAATGAAGCTCCAAATGATCAACCTCTGATGCCTCCTCCTTCTAGGGTTCTGTCCAGTACTGAGGCTCCGAATGATCCCCCTCCGGTGTCTTCTCTTTCTGGGGCTCTACCGACTGATGAGATTTCTCCTAAGCAACCTTTGTGAAGGCTCTCTCTTGTTTGTTTATTTTGACTCATGTATATGTACATATTTGTAACTTATCGGAGATATCAATAAATAAGCTTTACTTCATTTTAACGTATTGTGTTAAATACCAAAGCCTTCTTCACTGGGTGGGGTCGGCTATATGAATCTTAAAACGCTATTGTGCTCGGTCATGTGTCATGTTTTCGTTAGATCCAAGTACTCTAAGTCTTTTCTTAGAGTCTCTTCCAAAGTTTTCCTAGGTCTTCCTCTACCCCTTCGGCCCTGAACCTCTGTCCCGTAGTCGTATCTTCTAACCGGAGCATCAGTAGGCCTTCTTTGCACATGTCCAAACCACTGTAACCGATTTTCTCTCAGCTTTCCTACAATTTCGGCTACTCCTACTTTACCTCGGATATCCTCATTCCTAAACTTATCATTTATCGTGTGCCCACACATTCAACGAAGCATCCTCATCTCCGCTACACCCATTTTGTGTACGTGTTGATGCTTCACCGCCCAACATTCTGTGCCATACAGCATCGCTGGCCTTATTGCCATCCTATAAAATTTTCCCTTGAGCTTCAGTGGCATACGACGGTCACACAACACGGCGGATGCACTCTTCCACTTCATCCATCCAGCTTGTATTCTATGGTTGAGATCTCCATCTAATTCTCCGTTCTTTTGCAAGATAGATCCTAAGTAGCGAAAACGATCGCTCTTTGGTATTTCCTGATCTCCGATCCTCACCCCTAACTCATTTTGGCCTCCATTTGCACTGAACTTGCACTCCATATATTCTGTCTTTGATCGGCTTAGGCGAAAACCTTTAGATTCCAACACTTCTCTCCAAAGGTTAAGCTTCGCATTTACCCATTTCTGAGTTTCATCTATCAACACTATATCGTCTGCGAAAAGCATAACCAAGGAATATCATCTTGAATATATCCTGTTAACTCATCCATTACCAACGCAAAAAGATAAGGACTTAAGGATGAGCCTTGATGTAATCCTACCGTTATGGGGAAGCTTTCGGTTTGTCCTTCATGAGTTTTTACGGCAGTCTTTGCTCCTTCATACATATCCTTTATAGCTTGGATATATGCTACTCGTACTCATTTCTTCTCTAAAATCCTCCAAAGAATGTCTCTTGGGACCCCATCATACGCTTTTTCCAAATCTATAAAGACCATGTGTAAATCCTTTTTCTCATCTCTACATCTTTCCATCAATTTTCGTAAGAGATAGATTGCCTCCATGGTTGAGCGCCCTGGCATGAACCCGAATTGGTTGTCCGAAACCCGTGTCTCTTGCCTCAATCTATGCTCAATGACTCTCTCCCAGAGCTTCATTATATGACTCATTAGCTTAATACCCCTATAGTTCATGCAATTTTGTACGTCGCCCTTATTCTTATGGATAGGCACCAAAGTGCTCTTTCGCCACTCATTTGGCATCTTCTTCGTTTTCAAAATCCTATTGAAAAGGTCAGTGAGCCATGCTATACCTGTCTCTCCCAAGACTTTCATACTTCGATCGGTATATCGTCTGGGCCCACTGCTTTTCTATGCTTCATCTTCTTCAAAGCTCTAACCATTTCTTCCTTCCTAATTCGACGATAAAAAGAGTAGTTTCTACACTCTTCTGAGTTACTCAACTTCCCTAAAGAAGTACTCATTTCATGTCCTTCATTGAAAAGATTATGAAAATAACCTCTCCATCTGTCCGCGTTCTCTGTAGCAAGAACCTTTCCATCCTCATCCTTGATGCATCTCACTTGGTTTAGGTCCCTTGTCTTTTTTTCCCTTGCTCTAGCTAGTTTATAGATATCCAACTCTCGTTCTTTGGTATCTAGTCGCTTATACATATCGTCATAAGCCGCTAACTTAGCTTCTCTCACAGCTTTCTTCGCCTCTTGCTTCGCTCTTCTATACCTTTCACCATTTTCATCGATCATGTCCTTGTATAAGGCTTTACAACATTCCTTTTTAGCCTTCACCTTTGTTTGTACCTCCTCATTCCACCACCAAGATTCCTTTTGGTGTGGAGCAAAGCCCTTGGACTATCCTAATACCTCTTTTGCTACTTTTCGGATACAACTAGCCATGAAATCCCACCTTTGGCTAGCTTCCCCCTCTCTATCCCACACACACTAGGTGATTACTTTCTCTTTGAAAATGGCTTGTTTTTCTCCTTTTAGATTCCACCATCTAGTCCTTGGGCACTTCCAAGTCTTGTTCTTTTTTCTCACTCTTTTGATATGTACATCCATCACCAACAAGCGATGTTGATTAGTTAAGCTCTCTCCCGGTATAACTTTGCAATCCTTACAAGTTATACGATCCCCTTTCCTCATTAGAAGAAAATCTATTTGTGTTTTTGACGACCCACTCTTGTAGGTGATCATGTTCTTCTCTTTTCTTAAAGAAGGTGTTGGCTAAGAAGAGATCATATGCCATTGCAAAATCCAAGATAGCTTCCCCATCCTCGTTTCTCTCCCCAAAACCATGGCCATCATGAAAACCTCCATAGTTGCCTGTCTCCCTGCCCACGTGTCCATTTAAATCTCCTCCTATAAATAACTTCTCCGTCTGGGCAATTCCTTGCACCAAGTCTCCAAGGTCTTCCCAAAATTTCTCCTTCGAACTCGTATCCAACCCTACTTGAGGTGTGTACGCACTAATCACATTGATGAGTTCTTGTCCTATTACAATCTTGATTGCCATGATTCTATCTCCTACCCTCTTGACATCTACAACATCTTGTGTCAAGGTCTTGTCCACGATGATGCCAACACCGTTTCTCGTTCTATTTGTGCCCGAATACCAAAGTTTAAACCTTGAGTTTTCTAGATCTTTTGCCTTAAGGCCAACCCACTTAGTTTCTTGTAGGCACATAATATTTATCCTTCTCCTCACCATAACTTCCACTACTTCCATAGATTTTCCCGTTAAGGTTCCTATATTCCACGTTCCTAAACGCATTCTACTCTCTTGAACTCTACCCTTCTGTCCTAGCTTTTTCACCCTCCTCCGTCCAATAGGATCAAATTACTTCTTTTGTGTGTCCTGTGTAAAGTTGATAGGAGCATATGCTTCCAAACAACTTTGAGTGGAGTCGTTCGAAAAGAAGTTTCTATGGCCCCCTTACTCATTTAACACTGCATCCAGGTGCCGATGGAGATACAGCGACCCTTACTCACTTATCACTGTGCTCGGGCCACACAGTGCGTCACTTACGGGTAACGCCCTAGCTTTAGCGCGATTTCGTTCTGGATTCATTTTCATAAGGATTCGACGTAACTGAGGAGTGCCGGCTGTCGACTACTTGATGCCCTCCCCCTCCTCCTTTACCCGGGCTTGGGACCGGCAATGTAAGATAAACTTACACAGGCGGAGTTTGTGAAAGAAACATAAAACAGAAAAATTGACATGATCTAGAAATAATACCTGAAAGAACCATATTAACCGATAAAAGCGGTAAAATTAACAGATTGAAGCGTTTTGCCATTTTTCTTACTTCCTCTGCCTATCTTTCAATCTTTCGTTCTTTCTAACATGAGGTACATGAAATTACTTGAATGAATTGCGCTAAGAAAGTTTGACAATACGCAATATAAAGGATAAGGGTGGAGAAGAATACGTGTGGAGAAAGCACTAGTAAACCAAAGCAGTAGCAATTCATGGGATGCTTTTTGGCAATGCTAGTTAATCTGATTCCTTCCCTACTCCTTTCCTGCAAGTTTATTAAGGTTCCCTACCACCGTTTCTACTTTTTCCCACATCAAAGCTTAATCCATCTAAAAAATCCATGTTTGCAGAAACTATCCACTCCTTTTTCCTTTTTAATCATTTGGTCATCGACATTTTTATCTAATCTGAGGTATGAAGACGGATGATTGGAACTTGGGTGTAGAGTGAGTAACATATTGTTTTAGTCAACTTAGTTAGGGTCGGGTCTGCCAAACTATAAACTCTACTTCAAACGAAAGGCACCGTTTTTTGTTAAAGTTTCATAGATGGGTTGCGGCCTACTACTAATCTCATTGATACTATTCTCATTTAACCACAGCTTAATAACTAGGTGTGTGATTTTATGCAAAAAGTCTCGATATAATCAAAAGTAGAACCATTTAATATAAGTTGTAATTTGTTTGTAAGATGACTTTTTAATTTATTTAACATTTTTTCAAAATATTTAACTTCCAAGTTCAGTAAACTGTTAACTTAATAAGTTAATTAGATTCGAAATGTACATTAGTGGACAAAAGTTTCCCTATAGAAAAATCGCTTAATATAGAAAAATCGCTTAATAACTTAATATACAGACCTAGTACCTACTGTTGTTTGATATGGGAAAACTGCGGTCCAAAATTAGGCATATTTTGGCAAAGAAAAAGAACAATAAAAGCAAAATATGAGAAAACCCCATGAAGCAATACCTCAGTTGGAGTTGAATTATCGGCTTGAATCGGCGAGTAGTGATTTTACATGGGCTGGGAGGGTAGTGTACTATAGAACCCAATTGGAACAATCTCCTGGCCCAGTTCGTTGCATAATGTTCAATCTTTTGCAGTGGCGGATGCATTAAGGAATTCAGGTGGTTGTGAGATCATTCGGAGCCCGGATAAGTGGCTATGAGGACCTCTGAGGACCATCCAAGCTTGGCTATGTAGTGAAGGAGAAGAGTGTAGCGGTGGACCAGCAGCTGCAGTTTCTACAAATGATTGATGAAAGAGAAAGAAGACTATTCTGTTTTTTAAGGACTTAGTCAAAACACGTAGTTTTCAGTTAAGCCATGTGAGGGAGATCCTTATTAATTTAAAAAATATAAATAGTCTATTCTCTTTCCTCATACCCGAGATCTCCACCCAATCCCATTTTGCATTCACTTTCTCCAATTGGGTAACCCGGGCCACTAACAGCTGCCCCACACCTCCACATGTCTCCTCTCCATGATCACCACCACCTGGTTCACTTCTCTCCAATCTCCACCACCATTTAATCCCCTAATTTATGAATTTAAGTGAGTTTCTATTTTAATCTAAATTCATCATATAGGATGTTGAAATTGATGTGTATTAGATGGAAAATTTATATTCAGATTAGTTTATAGCTATTGTTAATCTGTTTTGATTTTTTTATTTTGTTTGGATCATGTGTTAGTTAGTTCATATGTCTATTTTTAGCTTCATCAATTGATATGATTTTTTGTTTTGATTAATTGATATATGTAGAAATTAGAAGTATGGAACGATATTACAAGTAAAAATCATCATTAATAGTTCCAATCCTATTCTAGATAGTTCAACTCCAAATTTGGATAGTTCCAAATCATCATCGTTCATTTTTTTCTTGTATTGACAATGAACCTATCATGACACATTTTCAAAGTATGAAACCTTGTTGTGGAAAAATTCAACCTTTGTAGCTTGTAATGTTGTTTGTACAAAGATTATGAATGAAAACTAGGTAGTTTATCGTTTAATTTTCATGTTATTTTCATATTTTTTAGAGCTTTTATATTGGGACCACCTAATGTTAGAATTCTCGATTCGCCAGTGATATCATGATCTTTCTTTTTCGTGCTTACCATAGATCTCTAGGTCTCACTTGGAACAATCTCTTGGCCTAGTTAGCAAATGTTATTTTAGGGCCAAAAAAAAAAAAAAAAAGTAGGTTATTTAATTGCTTCTTTTATCCTTTTGGAAACTCCTTGGTCCCAACTCTTAGACACCCCTATATGTCTATTATTCTTAAAGTTGCATATGCAACGGTTGAAGTGGGGGTCGACTCTACTCGGCTATTCTCTTTAAACATGCACCAATTAAGATATTTTGATACCAAAACGTAGCTACATATTATTAACGCTTAAAACCTGCATGTTGACAAATTAAAATAATAAATTCTTAGTGGCTTGGGATAATAACTAAAATGAAATGAACTCAAATATTTAAGTGGTTCACCCTTTAAAACTAAGCTACATCAACTGTGTTGCTTGGATTGTATTATTTCAAGACTACAAGAGCTCAACTAATTACATGAACCCTCTATTTTCTCAATTGTCTGACTCCATTACAAGAGGATCCTATCCCTTTATATAGGCCCTCCCTCAATGACTCAGAATGCTTGGGTTCCCCTAATATGACATTTAATGAACCATTTATGTAGACAAGCATACTGACACCTTTTCACATATCGATTGGGTATTTGATGGTGAAGTGACAAGTTCTTAGTCTAGTTAGCACGCCTTTTTAGAGTGATGCACATTGAGCGACTCGCTCGGCCTTGGTTATCCATCCCTGCCTCTCCGAGTAGAAACCCGACCACCTTTATATCTCATCCCAAGCCTTTACTTTTGTTCGTGAGTCGCCACGTGGACTAATTGACATCTAAGTAAACTTGCTCGTAAAACCTTGTGCTAGAAAATTGTCAGGTTGTCTACGTGTCTCTGGTAGTCAGAAAGTACTTTATACAACCTAGTCGGCTGAGCTTGTAAGCGGTTGGCTTTAGTGCTTGAGAACATCTTCCTCTAAACCCTTGGACCTTGGGGTTCTTGATCATCCTTGAGCTTTGACTTTACTTTGGGCTTTTCGTAGCTTCTTTCCTGACCTGCACCATTTTGTGGGCAGTGAAGTGCTTAGCGTTAACAAGTCCCCCAACTTCTTGGTCAATGATTTCTTCTTGGGCATGGAGTTGCAACGGTTGTCATGTACCCCAAATGTGCTCTATTAGAAAAAGTGTCTCGAGTGTTCTTGACCTATTGTTCTATTAGTCGCTCGACTATGTCCCTTATGTGCCTTATCTAGATCAATAATCAAAAGACATTTGGGTGCTCGATGCAAGTGTCAATGACAGACTAGGGGAGTAATCGAGGCGTCTGTTTATTAAAGACATAACAAATAGGCGTGGCCTTGTGCACCATGATGTCTCTTCACGACTCTTCAGTTCTCATAACGAAGTAAATGGTCTGTCACGTGTCACGATCTCTTCAACCAAGTGCTCCATCATTAATGGCTGAGATCGCACGCTTGGGTCTATATAACCTCCCCAGTCATAACTTATTCCCTTTACTTCACATTCTCTACTGAGACTTTGTTAGTTTTCCTTAGCGATTCATTCGGTGGCTGGAAAACTGCTTCCTTAAGACTTTACCCCCTCATCATCGCTTCTTCAAGTAAATTTCCTCTTTCTATGTTTGTTGTATTTTGTGAATCATTGAAAACATGTTCCTGTAATTGCTTATTTTCGTAGCGGAATTAAAATTCCCAATTATTGCCATCACACGCACACGTCGACGAGACTAACTCTGGTACCCTTAGTGAAAAGGATAGAGTAGACTTCCCTGACATAAGTAGATTAAGTAGCCAGGGATATCTCACTTGAACGAGCGCTGACTCACCCAAGCGCGTGCACCTTAATTTGTAGTGATTCACCTTTATTTTTTTGAGATCTTGGCGCTACTAGTTGATAATGAACACACGCGCAAAGTCGACCGCTTCAGGGCCGAAAAGTGATAGCCTAGAGACCTACAGCTACAAACAATCAGTCGTAGTGGCACATCCAGTTCTACCGATTATTGATTTTATTGATACCTTCTACGAACCTCTAGTCGAATCAGTTACCAATTATTTCTGCCAACCAAGAACCCGACCTTTACTTGTGGACTTACCAAATTCCCTTTTTCAGCTATCTGTTCCTGGAGAAGAATCATCTTCTAGCTACCATGAAGATGACCTAAAGTGTGACGCAAACCCAATGGCTTTTAGAGAGATAGGGGATAAAGAATTGCTAGACTTAGTTGATAAGGAAGATCCTCTTGTGGGCTTAGAAAGAATATGTAGAAGCCTTTCGTACATGTACTAAGTCGGTGTCCCATTCGACCATTATTAGATCTTCCTCGGGTTATAAGAAATCGGTCAAGTGGGGGATTAAATCTTAACAAGATGTTGACCCATTGCATTAATGATAAATATCTCTGGGGAAACCGCTAAAAAAAATTAGCAGCCCTGGCCAAACTTATCTTCCTCATAGAGGAGTTGGCATAGGAATAAAAGAGTCTTTTTGTAAAAACTGTATTTTAATTATTATAATGCTTGGGACCATAGTGTCGACCACATTCCCAGCATCATAACCTAGTTGGAAGAGTTGAAGAACCGATATAGCATTCCCAACGATGTTGTCATCCGAGCACCGGTTGTAGAAGAATAACTTAGCTAGCCGTCACACAGTTGGGTAGCCTTTTCTGCTGAACTCTTCAAGTCTAGCATTCAGCTACCTTTACACTCCTTCCTTCACTATGTTATAGTCCACACCAATTTAGTCCTTACCAAATCAATCTCAATGCCTTTTGTTTCTTTCTTAACATGTACGTGCTCTTGAGGCAATATTTTCAAATAAAGCCCAACCTTACCCTCATCAAACATTGTTATAAACTGAGGAACAGTCTTGGCCATGTTGGGTTCTATCATATGCTTAGCTCTTGCTTATTTTTGCCGACAACCCTTCAAACGAAAGGCCCTATAAGGAAAACTGATTCCTTGTAAGCGGTAACTGGGTGAGCTCGACTGAGGTCAAGGCGATTGGCACTCGAGTGGCTAGATGCTTTAGGGACAAGGGTTGACAAAACTAACACTTTCCATATCTCATGGTCTGTATGAGTCTTCTAATTTAATGAAAATATCTTTTTTTTTCACAGTTGATTAGTCTGGCCAAGTTTCTCTTTCTGAAGAAGAAGAATTTCAGTTGGCAGTCATCACTTCCTTGCCTTCTAAAGAGCTTTCCATTGCCGCTATATGTACCGAATCTCGTTTAAGAGTGATCGGTCTTTTAAGAGGTAAGCTAACTAAGCCTTAATACCTTCATATATGATCTTGGTGGATTTATATTATTTGTTGCTCATTTTTTCAACACTTCTTTTCACTTTACAGATGGAGAAATGGTTGAGATGGATGTTAAGGTTGAAAAGATCGCCCGTCGAGCTATGGGCAAAAAGAACGCTCCCAGTGGAGCTTGAAATTAGATAGCCGGTTGAGGTGTTGGTAAGAACGGGCCAATCACTTAGCTTGGCAGTCCCGACCCACTTCCAAGGGTGGTATAAATTACTCATCTGAGTGCGGACATGGACAAATCCTTGTGCAAGTGCCTGATTACTGGTGGCTCGGACACCCCTACTGCAAGAGGCCGACGATTGGCTCTTCCTCACCTCAGCGATTATAAGTAAGATCCGACCTACGTGATTGCCGCACGCTTTAAGGACACATTTTGCCAAGAGATTTACTCATACTTAAACATCCGTAAGAGAGTCTTTCATGGGGAGAGCATCGTGGATGCCATGCGAGGTTTGAAAGGGACACCCATGAGCAGGTGGCCCTTACCTTCGATCTTCAGGCTGGGGTAAACTTTCATCATGTTCCATGTTTCCCTCATACATGTAATGATCTATACAATTTTTCCTTTAGCTAATCTTCATTGTTTTTTCCTTTGCAGGCTCTCTTCACCTAATTTTGAGGGCTTAGACACCTCTTCAAGAAGAGAAAATAGAGCGTCAATTACGAGTGAGACATGAAGAGGTTGCAAGACGCCGTGAATGTGAAGCAGTTGAAGCTCAGATCTACTAAGAAGGTTGTTGAGGTGGCTAAGAAAGTGGTCGCTCAACTGCAGCTGAAGACTAAGTGCATGAGAAAGCAGTTGAGCGAATCTTCCACGAGTAAGCTCAAGACT